CCACCCTCCCCCTGCTGGTAGTCCCCGGTGTCTGTTGTTCTGATCTTTGCGTCCTTGTGTTCTCAATGCTTAGCTCCACTTACAAGTGAGAGCATGCGGTATTTGGTTTTCTTTTCCTGGGTTAATTCGCTTGGGATCATGGCCTCCAGCTGCATCCATGTTGCTACAAAGGACACGCTTTTGTCCATTTTTATGGTTTCATAGTATTCCATTGTGTATATGTACCACATTTTCCTTATCCAGTTCACTGCTGATGGGCACGTGGGTTGATTCCATGTCTTTGCTATGTGAACAGTGTTGCCATGAGCATAGGAGTACACATGTCTTTTTGGTAGAATGATTTACTTTACTTTGGATGTACACCTAGTAACAGAATTGCTGGGTCAAATGGTAATTCTGTTTGAAGTTCTTGAGAAACTTCCAAACTGCTTTTCACAGTGGCTAAACTAATTTACATTCCCACCAGTGAAGGTTTTTTTGGTTTTTCTTTTTGAGACAAGGTCTTGCTCTGTCTCCCAGGCTCACTGCAGCTTCGACCTCCTGGGCTCAGGTGATCCTCCCACCTCAGTCTCCTGGGACTACAGGCACACGCCACCACATTTGGCTAATTAAAAAAATTTTTTTTTGTAGAGACAGGGTCTCACTTTGTTGCCCAGGCTGGTCTTGCACTCCTGGACCTTAATAGTCCTCCCACTTTGGCCTCCCAAAGTGCTGGGATTATAAACATGAGCCAACATGCCCAGCCCTGTGATTTAAGTTTGCATTAAAATACTTTTGATTTTGTGATAGATGCTATAGGGTTAAATGTGAAAAGACCCAGGACATGTGGATCTTAGAAGGCACTTGCTTCCACATCAGCCATCTTCGTCAGCAGCTTCCTGTTGCATGGCTTGTGGCTCCAGCTTGAAGCTCAGCATCTTTAACCCTTGCCTTCTCCCCCGTGTGATTTTCTTACATCTTGGCAAATGACTGCACTTTCCCCACATTGCCGCTGTGTGTCCAGGCCATCTTTCTGGGCGTGATACCCTGTGTATTGAGGAATCTCCCAACCAGCACCCCTGACCCTGCTATACCTTGCAAACCAATGCCTGTTGCATACCCAGGCCAAGCTGATGATGAGAGGGTTTAACACCTTTGTAGGCTGGACGCAGTGGCTCACACCCATAATCCCAGCACCTTGGGAGGCCGAGGCAGGTAGATTACTTGAGTTCAGGAGTTCAAGAGCAACCTGACCAGCATGGCGAAACCCTGTCTCTACTAAAAATACAAAAATTAGCTAGCATGGTGGTGCACACCTGTAATCCCAGCTACTTAGGAGACTGAGGCACGAGAATCACTTGAACCTGGGAGGTGGAGGTTGCAGTGAGCTGAGATTGTGTCACTGTACTCCAGCCTGGGCAACAGAGCAAGACTCTTTGTCTCGAAAAACACCTTTGTAATAATATCTCAACCAGTGGTTAGAGCTGTGACCTGCCATCAGCTGAGCTCCAAACCCAGACTTGCTCCATGAATGCCTGACAGGTTCGCCACATTTTTTGTGTCCAAATCGGGCTCAACTTTTCCTCCACACAGGTGGTCTCCCCTCCTGAACCTGGGAAGTGTCTGAGGTTTTTCTTTGTCCTTTGCCTGGGTACGGGGTCTGAAAGAGCTTCCTCCTTCCCTGCCCACGTTGCTGCTGTTTTTGTTTGTTCAGGCTCTCCCTAGTTCTCTCCTGGCTTACAGTCACATTTCCTATCTGGTGTTTTTTTTTTTTTTTTTTTTTTTTTTTTTCTTTGAGACGGAGTTTCGCTCTTGTTACCCAGGCTGGAGTGCAATGGCGCGATCTCGGCTCACCGCAACCTCCACCTCCCGGGTTCAGGCAATTCTCCTGCCTCAGCCTCCTGAGTAGCTGGGATTACAGGCATGTGCCACCATGCCCAGCTAATTTTTTGTATTTTTGGTAGAGACGGGGTTTCACCATGTTGACCAGGACGGTCCCGATCTCTTGACCTCGTGATCCACCCGCCTCGGCCTCCCAAAGTGCTGGGATTACAGGCTTGAGCCACCGCGCCCGGCCCTCCTATCTGGTCTTAAAGCTCTTACCTTGCTAGTCATTTGTCACACAGGAGCTGAAGTGGCCTTTCTTTGTACGCTTTGTGTTCCAGGAAGGACTCAGGTGTCTTCCAGGCATCTGATCGTGTTACTCTCTTGCTCAACATCTGTTGTCACCTTAGGGTGAAGTGGCTTTCATCTCATTCAAGTGCTCCTTCCATTAAAAAGCTGGTCATAGCAGCCTCTTCCCCATCTGAGGGGGTGGTGCCTCTGGCATGGGCCTCCATTGCCTCTTCAATCCCCTGGCTGAGGTACTGCCTCAAGGATTCCATTGTGGGTATTTGAACCTCTGTTGAGGTCAAGAAGCCCCACCTCAGCATCCCGAGTAGTTGGGACTGCAGATGCTCGCCATCACGCCCAGCTAATTTTTTGTATTTTTAATAGAAATAGAGTTTCACCATGTTGGCCAGGCTGATATTGAACTCCTGACCTCAAGTGATTCACCTGCCTCAGGCTTTCAAACTGTCGAGTTTACAGGTGGGGGCCATCGTGCCTGGCCAGTCTGAGCCATTTAGAAGTGATGTTTGGCCTGGTGCGGTTGAACCCGGGAGGTGGAGGTTGCAGCAAGCTGAGATTGTGCCACTACATTCCAGCCTGGGCAACAGAGCAAGACTGTGACTCAGAAAAGGAAAGGAAAGGGGAAAGGGAGGAAGGAAGAAAGAGAGAGAGAGAAGAAAGAGAAAGGAAAGAGAGAGAGAGAAAGAAAGAGAGAGGAAAAAAAAGTGTTATGGACCAGAGTTGAGCTTCTCTAAGTATACTGTGCAGGCATGTCCCCTGGGGATCTGGCTGAAGTGCAGATTCTGGTTCAGGAGGTCTGAGATGAGACCCAAAATTCTGCATTTCCAATGAGATCTGGGTGATGCTGCTTCTCTGAGGAACGGGCTTTGAGTAACAGGGGGCTGCAGAGTCCAGAAATAAACCCAAGGATGGGTGTATATCTAGCAGATAACAGAGGTAGGAAAGGGCTGGTTTATTTCATGGGTCACGGAGTCAGATGGCTGTCAGAGCTGGGAAGTGTGTGCAGCAGCTGGTGCCAGGCTGTAGGGAACTCTGGGGCCTGAAGATTATGTTCCTTTCACCTTAGTGTTCACATTTAAATTTAAAAAGGAAGAACAAAAAGGAGGTGAAGAAAAGAGAGGAAGGAAGCAAGGCTTACTGATGGAAACATTTTGAGGTGATACTGGACGGCCTGGGTGGGACTTAACATGGCACTCATATCATAAAGGAAAATACATTAGCATGAATTCCAGAAGCATGAAATCTCTAAATATAAAAAATAAAGCTATGAAAATATTAGAGGAATTGAAAGAACGTGTGTATAACCTTGAGGTAGGGTAGACCTCCTTAAGTGAGGTTGAAATCCATGAAAACCATCTGATCACATAGGCATGAAGGCAAGGTCAAAAATAATGGCCAGTATCACTGAAGTTTAAGAAAGTAAACTGTTTTTAAACCATCGAAATTAGCCGGCCGCGGTGGCTCAAGCCTGTAATCCCAGCACTTTGGGAGGCCGAGGCGGGTGGATCACGAGGTCGAGAGATCGAGACCATCCTGGTCAACATGGTGAAACCCCGTCTCTACTAAAAGTGCAAAAAATTAGCTGGGCATGGTGGCACGTGCCTGTAATCCCAGCTACTCAGGAGGCTGAGGCAGGAGAATTGCCTGAGCCCAGGAGGCAGAGGTTGCAGTGAGCCGAGATCGCGCCATTGCACTCCAGCCTGGGTAACAAGGGCAAAACTCCGTCTCAAAAAAAAAAAAAAAAAAAAAAAAAACCATTGAATTCACGGAAATTTTAGAGTGATAGGATCCAGTACTGATAAGGGGAAAGGAAGACTCTCCTTCAGTGCAGGGCATCTGGCAATGTTTATCAGAATGAAAATCGCATACCCTTTGATCTAGATTTTGGAAGTCTAGCTTAGCTCACAAAACAAAGTATCAATAAGTGTAAGTGTAGTGGTGCATGCCTGTAATCCCAGCTACTCCAGAGGCTGAGGGAGGAGGATTGCTTGAGCGCAGAAGTTCAAGACCAGCCTGGGCAATATAGTGAGACCCTATCTGTTAAAAAAAAAAAAAATTGAAAAAATAATTTAGGTATCATTAAATGACAATAAATAAGATTTTTAACAAGGCTTTTGTAATTTCATAAGAGGGGAGAATTATAAAATGAGTCCCCCAAGTGCCCATCACCCAGCTTCAGCAATAAATGGCATTTCACTAATCTTGGTTTCTTTCTTCTCCTGTACTTATTCCCTGCCCCCACCCTTGAGTTCTTTAAAGCTAATTCTAAACATGTCATGTCACCTGTAAATAATTCAATATACATCTCTAACTGATCAGAGGCTTTAATATACAAACACATAGCCACAACACCAAATGCAGGTAACACTAATTCCTTAGTAGCAGCTAATACCAGTCTACTCCACATTCAGATTTCCCTTATTTTCTCAAAATATCTTTTTACAGTTAGTTTATTTGAGTCAGTTCAAACAAGCACCACACACTGTATCTGGTTATCAGATGTAGTAGTGCATACTTAACACAGCACTGCTTGTAGTGGCAAAAAGACACACACACACAAAATAAATGGGACAAGAATGTCTGTAAAGCAGGCAGTGATTTTGCCTGTAGACAGGATTAAAAGAGAGTGGGGTGGAAGAGGGGTTGTTAATGTTTTTTAAATACCTCTAGAACATTTGACTTGGTACAAAGTGCACATTTTTATACTTGAAGAGAAAATCTTAATTAAAAAACCAGCCGGGTGCGGTGGCTCATGCCTGTAATCCTTGGTTGGTGAATCCTGGTGGATTAAAACTTTGCACATCTGTTGATTCCATGGTATTAGGGTGATTTGGGATCAGTGCATCGCTGTCAGTGTTTAACACTCTTTTCTTTTGTCTTCTTCCCCTCAGGCATCCACCATGTTGCGAGCCTCCTTGGCACCTGTGTAAGTAACTACTCGTAGGAATCTTTATTAAGGAGAACAGCAATGCGTAAAACGGGAATTCAAAGTGTCTTTAATAAAACACTCATCTTAGCAGCCTAGTTTAGAGGAATGCTACATTTGAGCTAGAACTACATGTGGATATTAAAGGAAATATGAGTACTTATAAGTAATGTTGTTAAACCAGAATAATCTTTTTTTTTTTTTTTTTTTTTTTTTTTTAAGATGGAGTTTTGCTCTTGTTGCTCAGGCTGGAGTGCAATGGAGCAGTCTTGGCTCACTGCATCCTCTGCCTTTTGGGCTCAAGTGATTCTTCTGCCTTAATCTCCCAAGTAGTTGGGATTACAGGCATGTGCCACCACGCCTGGCTGATTTTGTATTTTTAGTAAAGATGGGGTTTCTCCATGTTGGTCAGGCTGGTCTCGAACTCCCGACCTCAGGTGATCCGCCCGCCTCGGCCTCCAAAAGTGCTGGGATTACAGGCATGAGCCACTGCTCCCTGCCATCTTTTATTGATTCCATTTCTTTGGTAAGGAAGCCTCAAATGAAAAAAGCTGTTGAATTGTTCATATGGTATTGTATAGAAATGAATTGAATCTACTACCATAGTGCAAGCCACAGAGCGTTGCAGTGTCTGAATTTATGTTGTCTGCTGGATCACGCTGTGATCAGTGCCATGGGCAGCCCTGTGTGTGCCTGTTCTGACCATTTGGGCTGTTCCCCTTGGGAGTGTCTTATGCTGTAGGGGACTGTGGCAATAGAGTTGAGAACCTTTGACTTGGACATATGGACCAGGGTGGCTTCTGGGACCCTCTGAGCCAGCTTGATGGGGAAGGCGAAGAAGATAGGGGTACTGTGCGATTCCTCAGACACCTGAGATGCCCACAGCATTCCTCCTTCCTCAGCCCTGCCTGCGTCTGACCTTGACCCTGCACTTTATTCTCTCCTACCACTTTGGCAGCAGTATCACTTACTGCACAGATGTCTAGGGTTAAAAGCCCACCTCTGCTACCCACCCTGTGACCAGGGATTACTTATATAATTTCTCTGTGCCTCAGTTTCCTCATTTATAAAATGAGGAGAATCATAGTAATTCTATTATAGGATTGTTGTGAGATAAAAATTAGCTAATACATATACAGCACTTAGCATTTGGTGTAATACTAGAGTATTACGCCAAAATGAGGAAATTATCATTGATACAGTACTGTGAACTAGACTGCAAACCTCATTAAATTTCACCAGTTTTTCCATGCCCTCTGATCTCCTTTGCTACAATAAAACAAAACGTGAAGACACTTATTTTAGTGACAGGGAAGTTGAGGTGATGATTCCTTTCGTTTCTGGCTGACCGAAGGCAGGTGGCGGGGCAGTCTGAGCTGTGTGTATCTCAAATCCGAGGCCTCTCCTCGCTGAAACCTAGCTCCCCTGAGATCTTTGACTTGGAATCTTCCTGAGGAGGGTCTGCAAATTGTCCTATAGCCCATCTCCTGGCTGTGTTCCCATGCCACTTCCTGACTATACCTTCTGCCTCCTCGGAAGGCTGAGCCACCCACCTACTTACTCTTTTTTTCTTTTTTTCTTTTTCTTTTTCTTTTTCTTTTTTTTTGAGATGGAGTCTTGTGGTGTCTTGCCTACGCCGTAGTGCAGTGGTGCAATTCAACTCACTGCAGCCTCTGCCTCCTGGGTTCAAGTGATTCTCCTGTCTCAGCCTCCTGAGTAGCTGGGACTACAGGCATGTGCCACTATACCTGGCTAATTTTGTGTTTTTAGTAGAGACAGGGTTTCACCATATTGGCCAGGCTGGTCTCGAACTCCCAACCTTAGGTGATCCACCTGCCTAGGCCTCCCAAAGTGCTGGGATTGCAGGTGTGAGCCACTGTACCCGGCCTCTGCCTACTTATGCTTCACACTTGTTTCCTGACTGTCGCTCATCTTCCCCCAGTCCAGTCGCTCAGTCTTGAGAGGAACAGTGGCTTCACGTGTTGAGGTAGAACACTTAGGGCCATCGTCTTTGGACTGTGTCCAGAATTCTCAACAGGACTTCAGTGAAAAGTTATGATGCCCTCAAGGTGATTTCTTCCCCATCCTAGGAGGCTCTGGCTGAAGGTGAATCTGTAGGGGTTTCTAAATCTGTTCAGGCAGAGACTCCTTGTTTTAGGAAAAATGTTAAACAGAATCTCAGTCCACCCAACAGAACAGGCAGAGCTGAGCTGGTTGAAGCTGAGGTAGGCACCTAGACCCCAGGCCGTCCTTTAGGTGGAAGCTTGTAGGTCATGCTGGGAGCCCAGGGGAACAGCAGGTTCTAGATCAGGTGCCATAATGCTCAGGAGGTGTAATGAACATGCCTTTTTGCCCTTTTCTTTCTGTTTGAACTTGTGTTGCTGAGTAGGAAATTGAAGGATGTCCCATTACTGCCTTCCCTGGATTATGAGAAACTGAAGAAGGATTTGATTTTGGGGAGTGACCGCTTGAAAGCCTTCTTGTTGCAGGCTCTGCGCTGGGTAGGTACCTTTGTCTTGAAGTTAGAAAACCAAACCAAACCAGTGATTTTCTTGGCTGGCTGCTTTGCCTGTATCTTTTAACTCATCTTCCAGAAATCTTTCTTCCCCTCTGCTGACACCAAGAATGGAAGTTGCCGCTTCTGAAGATAGCCTGGGCCTCCTTTAAGAAACCCCTATATTATGACAATTGTGATGTAATGAGTTAAATAAATGAATTTCAAGGCCAAGAAGACTGTACCTGCCTGTGGCCCTTTCCTGGCCGTGAGCCCCACTCTGCTTGTGGAAGCCCGTGTGTGAGCGCATGGAGCCAGGGTTGCCCACAGCCCCACAGAGGTTCTGTATTCAGGTACTCCTGCGCAGCCACCCTGGAGAAGTACCAAGGAAAGAACTCCTGTTCTCAAGAGTCTAAGGGAAGTGGCCTGGTCTCCGTCATTACTTTTCTCCCTACTCTTCAGCTTGCGTGCAGTTGAAGTCAGCAGTTGGTTCTCAAGCTTTTTAGTGTCTGACCCCTTTCCACTCTCAAAAATTATGGAGGACCTCAAAGAGCTTTCATTTATGTGCAGTTATTTGATCTACCAATGTTTATAGCATTTGAAATTAAAAATGAGAAGATTTGCCTGGGTATGCTGGCTCATACCTGTAATCCCACTAACTTTGGGAGGCCAAGGTGGGCTGATCACCTGAGGTCAGGAGTTCTTCAAGACCAGCCTGGCCAACATGGCAAAATCCTGTCTCTACTAAAAATACAAAAAATTAGCTGAGCATGGTGGCATGTGCCTGTAGTCCCATCTACTCAGGAGACTGAGGCAGGAGAATCGCTTGAACCCAGGAGGCGGAGGTTGCAGTGAGCTGAGATCATACCACCGCACTCCAGCCTGGGCAACAGAGTGAGACCCCATCTCAGAAAACAAAAAAACAAAACTGAAAATTTGAAATATGTGTTTATTAATTCATTTAAAATGAACACTAATAAACAAATGACATGTTAACATAAATAACACTTTTTATGATGAATACTACTTTCCAAACAAACAAAACTGTGAAAAGAGCAGCACTGTTCTGCAGATGTCTTTAATGTCTGGCTTGATGGAAGAAGCTGGATTCTCATATCAGCTTTGTATTTGACTGTTAATGTCACACTTCATATCGCCTCTCAGGGACTGATCATAAAAAAGGAATGATTGTATCTTAGTATTAGGAAAATTGTGACCTTGCAGACCCCCTAAAAGGGTTTGGAGGACCTCTCAGGGTTCCCTGGACCATACTGGGAACTGCTGGCTCTAGCCAACACTGATTGAACCAGCAGTTCTTTAAGGGAACAGTCCATCTGAATTCGTTAGCATCAGACATCTTCATGGACCCCCGCATTTCCAGGTATCTTGGCATCAGGATCCTTAGCATCAGATCCATTTTCCATCTGTGGGTAGAAGCAGTTCTCACTTGCACACAAGTGAGTGGCAGTACTTCCTGAAACACGTCTTGAGGAGGACTCTGATGACATATCCAGGATCTGCAGGAAGAGTCCTGTGGAAAGCAGTGATGTCTGTTCTGGTTTTGGTTGGGTCAATACTCGAGTGGGTGGGGCAGCATGGGTCATCAGCAGTGGCTGTGTCCTCCCTGGCCATTTACCTCTCTGCTCAAGCTCTCAAACTCATCTTTGATTTGCCTCTTGGTTTACTGATGCTGCACTTCCTCTTAGTCTGTGCTACTCCTGAGCCTATTGCTGAGACAGGGTATTCCTTTGCTGAGAGAGTAACATCTTCACAAAATAACCAGGAAAAGTGAACAGATTTCTCAGGATTTTGTCTGTGTACCTCTCCAGTGGCCTCATCCGGCTTCTTGCCTTTGCTTCTGTTATACCCGAGTGAGTTTAAACAGAAGCGCCACACTCTGAGTTTGTTTAGAGTCCACCTTTTTTTTTTTTTTTTTTTTTTTTTGAGACGGAGTTTCGCTGTTGTTACCCAGGCTGGAGTGCAATGGCGTGATCTCGGCTCACCGCAACCTCCGCCTCCTGGGTTCAGGCAATTCTCCTGCCTCAGCCTCCTGAGTAGCTGGGATTACAGGCACGTGCCACCATGCCCAGCTAATTTTATTGTATTTTTAGTAGAGACAGGGTTTCACCATGTTGACCAGGATGGTCTCGATCTCTTGACCTCGTGATCCACCTGCCTCGGCCTCCCAAAGTGCTGGGATTACAGGCTTGAGCCACCGCGCCCGGCTAGAGTCCACCTTTAATGGCCGGTGTCCGAGAGTCAGATAGAGCTCAAACCTCTCAGCCTAGAGCAAAGGGCGGTCAACATTTTTATACCAGTTTAGGGTCAGGGGGTGGTAGGCAGATTATTACAGAAGCAGAAGGAGCAGGTTAGGGGAATTCAGGAGGTGGGGAGCCTAACAACAAAATTATATTTAAAGTTGTTTTTCACTCAGGATGTAGGGTAGGCAGTTACACAGTTGCAGGTACAGGATGTACAGGGCCAGTGGACCCTATTTCTCAGAAAATTGGTTACAAAGATGGCAGCTGTCTCAGACCACAAGCTCTCAGAACAGAATGCCCATCATAGCTCAGGATGGGCAAAGTGGAGTTGGCAGGGTTGTTCAAAATGTATTCATCACAGCCAAGCTAGGGTAGTTCACTTCAACCTCAGTGAACTCAACAGAAGGGCAGCAGGGCCCCCGATGTGACATTCTGGGCACACCCTGGCCCTGGTGGTCACATCTGTTGGCAGTGCCTGCTCTGGAGGCCTCTCTGGCTCTCCTAGCCCAGGGGTCTGATGCTCTGGCCTGCACTCTTGCCCATGCTAAGAACTAGCATATTCCTTACACATCCAGCTTCTCTTCAGCTAGAAGCAGGGCTTGCAGCCTTGGGATTTTTATCTAGTAGGATTTTCCTGAAAAAGCAAGGATATTTGCTCACTCTGTTACATGCTTTTTCATACCCCATCTCACACCTGTACACACCCATGTGCACACTCACACACCCATTTTACATGCTCTCCACATGAAAGTTTTCTTCTAGCCCTGTGGACATTGCGTAAATTTTTACTTGTAGCAACATAACAGACTTACGGCTTTCTAAAATCTGCAGAATTCTAGCCGGCTACCTCTACACTCATGCATGAATGCACACATGCACACATGCACGTGTACTGTATGACTCTCATTCCCTATAAGAAAGGATAGAGTAAATTTGTTGGCAGGGCATACATTCAGAGCACTCAACAGTCAGCCTTGGGCCCCTCCCATTGAGCCATGCCACTGTGCCCTGTATTGTACCTCCCTGAGCTAGACCTCACTTTTCTATACCCCACCATGCTCATGCTCCCCTGTGCTGGTTAATAGGCTGCCCTTCCTGCAGGGACCAGCTCCTGAGCCCCTTTGTACAAGAAATGCCTCTCTGGGCATGGATGAGCTCTCCACTATCTGCACACTTATATCTGAGCATTTGCTGCTTCACTTCTCTGGAGATTTCACGTGTATAAGTTGGCACTAGCATCCGCTGTGTCACCCATTAGGAAGCACATTATAGGTTCTTGTTATTTGGTTAACCAGTTAACTCACCCCCCACAGCTGGATATTATTTATTTTGTTTAGTTAAATGCATAGTTACTGATACTGCCATTTAAAACACACCTGCTACGTGAAACTTTTCTCCATGATAAGACTAAGGTCTTGCTACTTTTGTTTTTCTTTGCTCCAGCGCTTGACCACATCCCATCCTGGAGAGCAGAGGGAGACCATTCTGCAGGCCTACATCAGCAATGACCTCTTGGACTGTCATAGCCACAACCAGGTTGGTAAGAGGTGGCTCACATCCTGGCCAGGGCCTTCAATTCTAGCATCATTCCCTATCTGGGGGAAGCTTTAATTTCTGTGCACATTTTCAGCATCGTAATTTCTGTGCACATTTTCAGCCTTGAGCTCATGAGATCTTTTGTTCACCCTGGGCATTGTCCTACTTTTTGCTTCTAGTAAAAGAGTTCTAAACAAGTTAGAACTGCTTGATTCATCATCTCTGGAGCTCTTTTCTGCCGTTTTTCCTTTTCTCAAATTCCCAACTCTTTGACCTCACTGCACGCTGCTTGCCATGAGTCCTGAAAACTGAGTATGACTTCAGAGGAACGAAGTAGGTAAGCAAATTCAGGTTGGTTACATCTGGGCCTGACTAAAAGTGTCTTTAATACAGTACTTATATATAATTTTGGACCAGATAGGTCTACTGATCGTGCGGGATAAGTATGAGATATGTGGGAGTCCTTAGCTCCAGGCCTGGCACCGAGCAGTCACTAATGGTCTTTCTCTCTGTCCCTGCCCCTCCTACCTGTATCTACACCAAACTTCACTGGACAGGAGGAGGATCAGGATTTTGAATTTGGCACATGTTAAGATGGTACTTCATTTTATTATTTCAGTTGAATTTTTATCTAGAGTGCGGTAAAAATGTAAAGCTATTGTTAAACTTCACAATGTATGCACTGAGTGGAGTATCAAATTGTCTTAACTCTCACTGATTAAATAACTGTCTTAGGCCATTTCCTGCTGCTAGAACAGAATACCACAGATTGGGTAATTTATAAACAATACAGGTGTATTATACTCAACAGTTCTGGAGTCTAGGAAGTCCAAGAGCATGGCTCCAGCATCTGGCAAGAGGCATCCAAAGCAAAAGGCAGAAGGCAGAAGTGACCACACATGACAGAGAATGGAGGGCAAAGCTGTCACCCACTCCAGCAATAATGGCAGTAATCCATTAATGCCTAACACCTTCTTAAAGGTCCTGCCTCCCTGTACTACAACATTGGCAATTAAATGTCAGTATGAGTTTTGGTGGGGACATTCAAACCATAGCAACAGACCCTGGGAAAGCGATTTACACATTAATCTGTTGTGCATACAGGCAATACAATTTGAGTTTCGAGTTGCCAATTTACTCTGCGAGTGTAATCTTAATGCTCTCCTGAAAGAGTTGTGTTAAGTTTGAAAATACTCTCATATTCTTGACTTATTTTCTTGCCTTTTTTCCTGTTGGGTTTTTAATGGCATTGAATCCAGCCTACAAGACATGAAGCAGCTGAATAATATATTGTTACAAATTCCAAACTCAAATTCAAGGAGTAAAGTCAGTACTGATTATTTCTAACATTATTTCATTGAGTCGAAGATACACTTTTCCCCCTGTCTTAACGTCTTTGCTACTGGGGTGTATCTGACAGTGAATGGCATATTATAGTTTAATTGGCAGTGTTTTTCTTTTTTTCTTGATTATACGTAAAACAATAATGAGTCCTCTTATGACAGGTGTCTTGGGTTTTGTCATCTGTAGTTTTTGTCAAAAATAGAGTGATCTCCATAGTCATTGAAGAGAGTAATTTCTTCCTCAAGTCATTATATATACTTCTTGTGGTTTATTTATTTATTTTGAGATGGAGTCTCACTCTTGTTGCCCAGGCTGGAGTGCAATGGCACGATCTCGGCTCACTGCAAACTCCACCTCCTGGGTTCAAGTGATTCTCCTGCCTCAGCCTCCCAAGTAGCTAGGATTACAGATGCCCCCCACCACACCCAGCTCACTTTTGTATTTTGAGTAGAGAGACTACTAAAAATGTTTCACCATTTTGGCCAGGCTAGTCTCAAACTCCTGACCTCAGGTGATCCGCCCACCTGAAGTCTCCCAAAGTGCTGGGATTACAGGCTTCAGCCACTGCACCCAGCTATGGTTTGCTTAAGAAGAAATGAGCTGAACCCTTTTACACTGTTGGTGGCAATGTAAATTAGTACAACCACTATGGAAAACAGTATGAAGATTCCCTAAAGAACTCAACATAGAACTACCGTTTGGGCCGGGCGCGGTGGCTCAAGCCTGTAATCCCAGCACTTTGGGAGGCCGAGGCGGGTGGATCACGAGGTCAAGAGATCGAGACCATCCTGGTCAACATGGTGAAACCCCGTCTCTACTAAAAATACAAAAATTACCTGGGCGTGGTGGCGCGTGCCTGTAATCCCAGCTACTTAGGAAGCTGAGGCAGGAGAATTGCCTGAGCCCAGGAGGCGGAGGTTGCGGTGAGCCGAGATCGCGCCATTGCACTCCAGCCTGGGTAACAAGAGCGAAACTCCGTCTCAAAAAAAAAAAAGAACTACCGTTTGGTTCAACAATCCCACTACTGGGTATCTATCCAAAGAAAAATAAGTCATTATATGAAAAAGACACATGTACACACATGTTTTCAATTTGCAGTTACAAAGAATTGGAACCAAGCTAAGTGCCCATCAACCAGTGAGTGCCTAAAGAAAATGTAGTATGTGTATACCATGGGATACCACTCAGCCATAAAAACAAATGAAACAATGTCTTTTGGGGCAACTTGGATGGCGCTGGAGGCCATTATTCTAAGTGAAGTAACTCAGGAATGGAAAACCAAATATCATATGTTCTCACTTATAAGTGGGAGCTAAGATATGAGGATACAAACAAAAATGATATAATGAATTTTGCACAGGTGACAGTATTCACTGTACCCGGTGGGTGCACTAAAGTCTCAGAAATCACCACTAAATAACTTATTCATGTAATTAGAAACCACCTGTACCCCATAAACTTGAAATAATTTTTTTTTTTTTTTTTAAAGAAGAAATAGGCCGGGTGTGGTGGCTCATGCCTGTAATCCCAGCATTTTGGGAAGCCGAGGCAGGTGGATCACCTGAGCTCAGGAGTTTGAGACCAGCCTGGCCAACATGGTGAAACCCTGTCTCTACTAAAAATACAAAAATTAGCCAGATGTGGTGATGTGTTCCTATAATCCCAGCTACTTGGGAGGCTAAGGCAGGAGAATTGCTTGAACCTGGAAGGCAGAGGTTGCAATGAGCCGAGATCATGCCCCTGGACTCCAGCCTGGGCAGCAGAGTGAGACTCTGTCTCAAAAAAAAAAGAAAAAGGAAATGAGTATAAGTTGTCTTTTTTTTTTTTTTTTTTCACAATACTCATGGTTTATTATATAAATCCAAACCTGAAAAGTCACAATTTCCATTCAGGCTACTGTCAAAAAAAGCTTAGTTTTTGGGACACGGGTTTGAATCTTGTTTTATCCACATTGTGTAACTGGGGACCTTAATAGTTTATTTTCTGCACTCCTTCAGTGTTACTGTAAAACTCCCAATCATTTGATGAGACATTACACAGCTAGCTCTTGTTGCCTGACAACCTTGGGATGTAGCAGTCAACATTCTGCATAGGTCCAAGTTCTCAGGCAGGATTGTACAGGGTAATTACCCAGGAGGCTTTCTAAAGCTAAGGTCTGTATTACCCTCCTCCGCCAGCGTAGGGGACACACCTTACAATCATCAAGTTTATGCAGGTAACCTGGACAAAGCATCTGCTCTGATCCTTTCTCCTGCTACCCCAGTGCAGTTTTCAACACTGTACCACAAGGTGCCATCTTGTTAGGTGACAGGGAAAAATCCAGCATGTGTCATGTCAGAATAGGTTGAAAGCCAACATTACAAAACCGTGACCATTTTTGCAGAGCACATTCCCAAACTATGGGCAAGACCAACAGCAGTTAAAGTTCAGCTTTTTATTGAACACATTTTAAAAGAGGTTTAGTCAAAAAGACCAAAGCCCATATCATCATCAGACTCCTCGGATTCTTCTTTCTTTGCTTCCACTTTCTTCTCCTCAGCTGGAGCAGCAGCAGTGGAGGGGGCAGGGCCTCCTGCTGGCGCAGCACCAGCTGCTGGAGCAGGCCCACCAGCCCCTACATTGCAGATGAGACTCCCAATGTTGACGTTGGCCAGGGCCTTTGCAAACAAGCCAGGCCAAAAAGGTTCAACATTTACACCGGCTGCTTTAATGAGGGCATTGATCTTATCCTCCGTGACGGTCACCTCGTCGTCGTGCAGAATGAGGGCCGAGTAGATGCAGGCGAGCTCAGAGATGGAGGCCATGGTGCGGGTGAGTGCGGGGCTAGCGCTGCCGGATGCGGTGCTAGTCGCTGGATGAAGTGAGGGCCTCACCCCAACGCGGCCTTAGCTTCCTCGGAAGGTCCAAGCACCTTGGCGGCAGCTGAGGAAAGAGCTAAGTTGTCTTTAAGATGTTAGAGAATCTGCAGGGCAGACAGACTCCTTGTCCAACATGGATGTATCACTATGGCACCATGGTAACCTGGCCTATACAGACAGGAAATTGAACTCCTTGGTTTGTTCCTCTCCTGTAGTGGTTCTCAAAGTTTAATGTGCATCATTATCTCTTGGAGGTCTCATTAAAATGCAGATCAGGTCCCACCAACAGTTTCTGTTCAGTAGGTCTAGGGTAGGGCCCAAGGATTTGCATTTCCAGCAAGTTTTCCAGCGATGCCAATACTGCAGATCCAGGGTGCTTTGAGAATTACAGTTCGAGACCAAAAACTTGAATGGAGCCAAATTTAATGAAATTGCAAGGCTGAGTTTTTCGTTTTTAGCTGAATTCTGAATTTTTCATTTTTAGTTGAAACCTGAGCTCAGGAGTTCGAGACCAGCCTGGCCAACATGGTGAAACCCCATCTCTACTAAAAATACAAAGTTCTTCATATCTCTAACCATCTTAACCATTTTTAAGTGTACATTTGAGTGGTATAAAATGCATTCATAATGCTGTGCAAACATCACTTACCGTCAGTCTCCGTAAATAACTTTTTTCATCTTGTGAAACTGAAACTTTGTACCTGTTAAGCAATAATTCTCCATTTCCCCTTAATCCAGGCCCCTGGCAAATTCCCATTTTACTGTTTGTCTCTATGATTGTGACTACTCCAAATACCTCTTATAAGTAGAATTGTCCAGTATTTGTCTTTTTGTGACTGACTTATTTCACTTAGCTAACGTCCTCAGGTTCATCCATGTTGTAGAGTTTCTTTCCTTTTTAAGGCTAATACTTCCTCATATGGATGGACCGGATTTTGCTCATCTGTCTATTCCTCTGTCAGTGGACATTTGGGTTGCCTCCACCTTTTGGCTGCTGTGAATGGTGCTGCTGGGAAGTGTGCATGCGCATCCTGACTGCTGTGTTAATTCGTTCCTTGCTTTTCTTTATAGTTTTCCCATCTATGTATATAGCCTGCATAATACCGTGTTTGCTTTTGTGCTGAGTAGCAAGTACCAGCCTCACTCTGCAAGGAAACAGGACTGTGCCCATTTTTGATGAAGTTACCTAGGAGAAAATGTCATAAACAAAAGTTTGGGATAATAGTTGGACATAGCTTCCCTGAACATATATTGATCCCCTCCGGTGACATCGGTCATCAAAGCTGGGAGAGAGTCCTGTGAAACATAGACCATGTGGCAGAATTGAAAGATCATCCAGGTGCCAGTTGTCCAGAAGCAATATTGATTGATTGATTGATTGATTGAGACAGAGTCTCACTGTCACCCAGGCTGGAGTACAATGGCGCAATCTTGGCTCACTGCAACCTTCAACTCCTGGGTTCAAGTGATTCTCCTGCCTCAGCCTCCCGAGTAGCTGGGACTACAGGTGTGTGCTACCACACCCAGCTAATTTTTGTACTTTTAGTAGAGATAGGGTTTTGCTGTGTTAGCCAGGCTGGTCTCAAACTACTGACCTCAGGTGATCCGCCTGCCTTGGCCTCCCAAAGTGCTGGGATTATAGGTGTGAGCCACCAAGCCTGGCCCAGCAGCAATATTTATGCCCAAGGGCAATGGTGAGCTGCTCTGTATTTTGGCTTGTAAGTGTACCTGATCTAGTTGTCAGGAGTCGATCACTTGAGAATACTTCTGTTGGGGTAAAAAGACTGTTCACAGCTAATCTATACAGAGCATGGAAGTGGGAACTGGAACGTCACTAGCACATGTCAGGGTTATCCAAATGCCAGTCGGATGTTTTGTATTCTGTTTACAAATTAGGACATGGTACACTACTTTGGAACACAGGCAGCATTTACTAAAATGGAATTCCTCGTGTCCTAGCAAAGCCTCTCCTAGGTATGGCCCCAACAAAAATGTGCCCATATTTTCACTAAAAAACATACAAGAATATTCATAGCTGCACTTATAAGAACCAGAACGCTGGCTGCAACCCAAATGTCAATCAGCAGTAGAATGAATACCTGTGAGGTATTTGTAAAATGGGACACCTTAAGCAATGAGAAGGAGCACAAAGCAGAGACCACAGGTGTGTATCACAAGCAGATTGTTGAATGAAAAGGTCAAATATAAGAGAATATATAATATATGGTTTCATTTATTAAAAAATTTGAAACCGGCTGGGCTCGGTGGCTCACGCCTATAATCCCAGCACTTTGGGAGGCCGAGGCGGGTGGATCACGAGGTCAAGAGATTGAGACTATCCTGGTCAACATGATGAAACCCCGTCTCTACTAAAAATACAGAAATTAGCTGGGCATGGTGGCAGAGCCTGCAGTCCAAGCTACTTGGGAGGCTGAGGCAGGAGAATTGCTTGAACCCAGGGGGTGGAGGTTGCGGTGAGCCACTGCACTCCAGCCTGGGTAACAAGAGTGAAACTCCGTATCAAAAAAAAAAAAAAGAAAGAAAGAAAAAATTTAAAACCAAGTAAGATGAATCTGTGATGTTAGAAGCCAGGAGAGAGGTCACCCTTGGTTTGGAATGCAGCTCTGGAAGGGCTTCTGGGACCATGGGCATGTTCTGTTTCTTGACCTGGTTGCTAGTTAGCCACATGTTCAGTTTGTGAAAACTCACCAGGCTGTACATGTGATCTGCGCAGTGTTCTGTGTAGATGCTATACCTCAGTAAAAATTTGACCTCAATTGTTGTAATGGTAATAGGCATCTTGGGGACAATGGCCTTTGACATGTCGCCCTCTTGAGTCAGCTGGGTTTAGTCTGGACAACATCTGGTGCGTAGCTGCCCTCCAGGCGTCTCTTCACCAAACTGTTACTGATTCCTTTCACTGCTCTCCTGAGTTGGACCTGAGTTTCCAGTGCCCCATATTATCTTATTTCTTGACTTGTTCTCTCGATTGGTAGAACACATCCTTGAGTTATTAGCTTCTAGAGAAAAGGTGCACAGTAAGTATATTTTTTGAGATCATTTATGGTCAAAAAATGTCTTCATTCTTTGTATAAAATTCTGGATTGTAAATAATTTTCCTTCAGAATTTTGATGTCATTGCTCCGTGGTCTTTTAGGTTCCAGTTTTGCTGTTCAGAAATCCAAAGCCAGCTGGGCACGGTGGCTCATGCCTGTAATCCTAGCACTTTGGGAGGCCAAGGCAGGAGGATTGCTTGAGCCCAGGAGTTTGTGACCAGCCTGAATAAAATAATGAGACCCCATTCTCTAAAAAAAAAAAAAAAAAAAAAAAATTTTTTTTTTTTTTTAACATTAGGCAGGTATGGTGGCTTGAGCCTGGAGTCCCAGCTAACTCTGAAGACTGAGGCGGGAGGATTGCTTGAGCCCAAGAAGTCCAGGCTGTGAGCTGTGATCACACCACTGCATTCCATCCTGGGCAACAGAGTGAGACCTTGACTCAAAAAATAAAATTAAATAAAAGGAATCTAAAGCCATTCCACTTCCTTATCTTTTGTATGTGACCTGTGTTTGTCTCTCTAGAAGCATTTCTTCCCTTTTGTCTTCTGTGTTCTCACTCTAAATGTTGAACCTCCTGAACTGATTTTCTGTTTTTCTTATAGTTTCTCTCATATTTTCTATCTTTTTGTTTCACTGTCTGGGAGATTTATTTCCCTTCTTTCCTTCCTCCCTCCCTCCCTCCCTCCCTCCCTTCCTTCCTTCCTTTTTTTTTTTTTTGACAGTCTCACTCTGACACCCATGCTGGAGTGCAGTGGCATAATCTCAGCTCACTGTATCCTCTGCCTCCTGGGCTCAAGCAATCTTCCTGCCTCAGCTTCCCAAGTAGCTGGGATTATAGGTGCATGCCACCACACTTGGCTAATTTTTGTATTTTTATAGAGATGGGGTTTCACCATGTTGGCCAGGCTGGTCTCAAACTCCTGATCTCAAGTGATCTTCCCACCTCGGCCTCCCAAAGTCCTGAGATTATAGGCGTGAGCTATCATGCCCAGCCTTCCTAGATTTCTTCATCTTTATTTTCTGACCCTATTGTTGAAACTTTTCTTTCCTTTTTGATAGTATTATTTTGTTTCATGGATATAATACAATTTCTTATGTCTGAGGATATTAGTGATGAATTTTTATTTAAGTTTTAGTTTTCTTCTCCCTGTACAGTCTTTTACTCCAGTCCCCACCCTCCCCCCGCCGCCGCTGCCACCCATTTGTTTTGGCCTCCTGGTAGAAACTTTTCTTGGATGTCTGGTAGTCCTTGGTGATCTCCTAATGACATATTTAGTGAAGGGGACTGAAAAGCCCATTGAGTGTGATGGTAGGGCCTGTCGATGTATAGCTCCACCAAGGGGGATCTGGGTGGGCCATTTGCTGAACCTCTGATTTTACCATCTCTAGTTCTTTCCCCTTGGGCTTGTCATTTCACTGTGAGAACAGTCTTCTAATCTTGGGCATAGAGGGGAAGAGTCTGATTGCCAGTGTCCTGGGAGCCAAGTTCTGGAGTGGCCCTCTGTTCCACATTCATTCTGTATTTAGACACTAACCCCGCTCTCCATTTTGTTCTAGAATCCCTGAAACCCTTGCCGTCCTCTGCCTGGTGTCCCTGTTCCACAGCCTCTTTGTGTCACACTCACAAGGGAACACCCTCTCCACAGCCCTATGCTGAGAGGTGCACAGGAGTCACAAGAGTGGGATCCAGCTGCTTCTTAAACAACTTTCATTCATTCATCTTCATTTTTCTCCAGCTCTTAAGCCCTTTGAGGAATCAGTAATGGAAATTGGGTAATTCCACAGTGCCCCTTGCTGCCTTGAAATTTGACCTTCTTCGGCCTGCTAAGCCTCTTGCCATCCTGCATTCCTGCTTCCAGAACCGTGGCATTATTGTTTCTTTTGCTGTTCTCACTGTCCTTGGGAATTATCTTTTTTAACAGTGCATTTATTGTAGTTTTACTGTGGTTTAGAGGGCTCCAAATTAGGCGTGTGTCTTGGATCTACCATTCTAACTTGGAAAACAGCAGCAATGGTAACAGCAAACAGGAATGCTTCCTTCATGCCAGTCACTGGTCTGAGAGCTTCGTATAATAAATTCATTTAATTTGGAAGTCTGACTAACTTATTTTTGCCAAGTCTCATCAAATTTGTTGGAAATCAAGACCCAGATGAAATGTTTGGCTTTAGTCTGTTTATTTCACCTCTAATAAATTCAGGCAGAGGAAGAGAACTACCAGACGCAAAGAGGAGACATATGTTTATCTCTCCCTTCTCTTAACCTTGTTTTTCCTCTTGACTTTGTCCCCCAGAGGAGTGTGCTTCAGTTGCTGCACTCCAAGAGCGACGTGGTACGGCAGTACATGGCCAGGCTCATCAATGCTTTTGCGTCACTGGCAGAAGGTGAGACATCAGCTTTGCTTAAAGAGAAGAGCTAGGTCATATTGATTCCTTTTCCTTTGAAAATGAGTGTTCCTCCCAAGTTTCTTAGCAATTACTCTTCCTCAATTTGTTACTGTTTAATTCGTCTAAGGTCTTTTGTGAAAATTAGTTGTTGTCATATTGCTTTAGTTTATATCAGAGCACTTTTGGACAGTTTTTGGGTTTATTTTGTAAGCCTCCTGGTTTTATTTTATAAGCTTTCTGGCTTTGTAACATAGTAATGTTTTATATTGCTTTCAAGCATGTCACAGGTAATGAATGCACTTTCTACAGTTTTCTACTTAAGACAAAATAAGTGAAACAATTATAGCAAAATAAGCATGGTGAAACAAAGCAGACTCCAATAAACACTGCACCATTTCCTTCGGAAGACTATGACCTCTTAAATCAAAGGATTTGAAAACTCTGAAAATAACATGCCCCCATAACTGAATTCAAAATGATTTGGCGAAGTGCCATTATCTTCCATAAGTTCTTATTTGTTTGAGCTCTTTATAATGTGAATAAAGGGAGTTTTCAAATTATGAACATATGATAGTCTACAACTTAGTTCATTTGTTCATTCATTCTTCCATCCGTTTGGCAAACATTTATGATAAGCCAGGATATGTTACTGAGGACCATTCATATAATAATACTGTTGAAACTTATGTCTGAAATTGACATCTTCCGAAATCCACAACAGGCTAGTGACCATTCAGGGTTTCTTATAGGGTCCCAGGTATGGCTTCCACCTTCCTCTCCAGGCCTTGTGCATGTCTAAAGGGAGTAAAGGGAGCAGAGAATGTGGACGGAAGCACTCCTTGGCCGCCTGTATTGTGAAGGCTTAAGGGCTCATAACACAACATCTACCCCCAGTTTCTCCTTGTAGATCTGAATGTTGGATTCAGGATTTCATGGGAAAAAAAGGATGGTGCTCCCCACAAGAACACAGCAGTGAATTATGTGTAGTTCACAAGAAGGGTGGTTTTTCTAGTCATCAGATAGTTGATTGAATAAAACCAACTTTTAGAAAAAAAATCTTTTAATAAATTTTGTGGGAGTTTTGTAGGTTTTATTTTATTTTATTTTATTTTTGACAGAGTCTTGCTTTGTCACCCAGGCTGGAGTACAGTGGCATGATCTTGGCTCACTGTAGCCTTGACTGCTCAGGCTCAAGCAATGCTCCTCCCGCCTCAGCCCCCGAATTAGCAGGGTCAACAGGTGTGCATCATGACACCTGGCTCATTTTCTTTAGTTTTTGTGGAGATAAGGTTACGCCCTGTTGCCCAGGCTGGTTGGGAACTCCAGAGCGCAAACAATCCACACACTTCAGCCTTCCAAAGTGCTAAGATTACAGGCGTGAGCTACATTGTGCAACCAGTAAGATTTATTATTATTATTATTATTTGTATTTTTATTTTTTGGGGGGGTCGGAGGACAGAGTCTCGTTCTGTCGCTCAGGCTGGAGCGCAGTGGCTCGATCTTGGCTCACTGCAACCTCCGCCTCCCGAGGTCAAGCAAGTCTCCTGTCTCAGCCTCACGCAGTTCTCCTGCCTCAGCCTCCCGAGTAGCTGGGATTATAGGCATCTGCCACCACGCCCAGCTAAGTTTTGTATTTTTAGTACAGACAAGGTTTCACCACGTTAGCCAGGCCGGTCTTGAACTCCTGACCTCAGGTGATCCACCCGCCTCGGCCTCCCAAAGTGCTGGGATTACAGGCATGAGCCACTACTCCTGGCCCAGTGAGTTTTTTAGAACATAAAATTACCCAAACTCTGCTGTGTTTTATGTAAAGTAAGTTTTCAAGGAAAGTGGTTTTTTAGCATACCAGATAAATTATTTCTGTCTTTCACCTGTTTCATCTCTGGTGTATTATCAGGTCGCCTCTACCTTGCCCAGAACACAAAGGTGCTACGGATGCTGGAGGGAAGGCTGAAGGAGGAGGACAAGGACATCGTCACCAGGGAGAACATTCTTGGGGCCCTGCAGAAGTTCAGCCTCAGGTAATGACTATGTGGTAGGTTGTGGTGTCTCCTTTGAGATCACATTGAGTTAAAATTCCCATGACAACTCAGGAGGCAGATGGTATTTTTCCACTAATACTTTGGAGAGGTTGGATGACTTTCTAAGACAGAGCTAGAAAGCTTATCTCTAATCCACTAAACTATCGTGCTAGAGACTGCTGGGGATGGAGGAAGACGTTTTATTTTTTTAATTTTATTTTCACCAGGGCCTTTGCTCTGAGAGGAAGGCATTTTAAAAGCACTGGTGTATTTTCCTGATAGACGTTATGTAGTGCCAGCCATGCTAGATTGTGTCTCAGGGCATGTGCAGGGCTTAGAGACACACACACAAATAGGGCCCAATAGAGCCTCAGTCCTCAAGTTACTTCTAGTCCCCTGTGGGAGCCACACGTGTAAATGTACATCCCAGCAGAGTGTGAGAGACGGTCCTGTGGAGTTAGGATTTGGGCCTCCTGACCTTGGCAATGCAACCCACCCCATTGGCTCAGCCTAGACCGCCGTGACTTGGAACCTATAGGGCCAGTCTGATCTTGAACTCCTGACCTCAGGTGATTCACCCACCTCAGCCTCCCAAAGTACTGGAATTAACAGGCATGAGCCATTGTGCCCAGCCCCATAGATTTCTTTTCAGTTAACAGCTTTATTGAGGTGTATTTTACACACCATAATATTCCCCCATATCAAGCACACAATTCAAGGATTTTTGCGGTATTTACAGAATTGGGCCACAGTCTTCACCACAATCCAGTTTTAGGACACTTCCATCACCACAAAAAGAAACCTCATACCCATTTACAGTCACTCCTCATTCCTACCCCCAATCCCCGATAGCCACAAATCTGCTTTTGGTTGATTGACTTGTACTGGACATTTCATATCAATGGAACCATGTAGCGTGCGCTCTTTTGTAACTGGCTTCTCTCACTTAGCATCACATTTGCAAGGTTCGTCCTTGTAGCAGCGTGCATCAGGGCTTCATTCCTTTTGTGGCTGAATGATACTCCGTTGTGGCTACAACACGTTTTTTTGTTTGGTTGGTTGGTTGGTTTTTTTTGAGACAGAGTCTTGCTCTGTTGCTCAGGTGGAGTACAGTGGTGTGGTCTCGGCCCACTGCAACCTCCGCCTCCCAGGTTCAAGCTATTCCCCTGCCTCAGCCTCCTGAGTAGCTGGGATTACAGGCACGTGCCACCATGCCCAGCTAAGTTTTGTATTTGTAATAAAGATGAGATTTTGCCATGTTGGCCAGGCTGGTCTCGAACTCCTGACCTCTTGATCCACCTGCCTTCAACTCCCGAAGTATTGGGATTACAGGCGTGAGCCACTGTGCCTGGCCTACATTACATTTTGTTTGTCCTTCAGTTGATCAGCATTTGGGTTGTTTGCACTTTTGGCCAATATGTATAACACTGCCATAAAAGTTTCAGCACAAGTCTTTGTGTGGACATATGTTTCCTTTTCTCCTGGACCAGCATCTAGGAGATGGATTACTGTGTCATATGGTAATTTTCTCAGAGTTTTCTTTGAAAATAATCACCTCAAGTTCTATTTGACTTTATTGAGAACTCTAGTACCTGGAGTCTTCAGCTTTTTTTTGTCAGTCCTCTTCTGAAGACAATTTCTTCCCATCAAATGTGATTAACATTTGACCAACTCACAAAGAACCAGAAGCTGGCCAAGCGAATGGTCTGTGTGTGTGTGTGTTTACTGGGAAGAGATAGGTATTTGTATCTACTGTTTGCCAGTTTCCTACAAGTGAAAATTTCCTGTGCTAATTATATGAATTGAAAAGAACTAAGTGATCTGCAGAGTCATACTTCCTCAGAGCATACAGACACTTCATTTCTGTTTGTAGAGAGAACTTTGCTCAATATTGACTGTTTTAGGGGTTTTTACAAATTCAATAACTATAGTTCGGTGACAGACGATACGGTGAAAAAAATACTTCCTCCTGGTAATGCAAATATTTATTGCCTGTTTATTATTTTCCTCCAAATGATCATTTAAGCTTTTTCGTTCTGTAAACGTGCTTAAACTTTTTGCAATTTTCCAGTCTCTGCAGTAAATGGAGAAGGTAGCTAGTTACCAAGGGAGCACAGTCTTCACTGTATCCTATGTTGACCCTGATTGGATCAACATAGTGTTTAAGAACAGGATGAACAGGTAACTGGCTCTGCTGTTCTGTCCTAGATGGTGGTTTCACCATAAGCTGCTCATCAGGAGATGTGCAGTGCTGGCTTCTCTGTGGCATGTCAGTTTTCTAGTAATCCAGATGGCATCTCACAATGATACCACACTTAGCCTCAGTAATTCTTTTTTTTTTTTTTTTTTTTTTGAAACAGAGTCTTGCTCTGTCTCCAGGCACCAGGCTGGAGTTCAGTGGCACGATCTCATCTCACTGCAATCTCCACCTCCCAGGCTCAAGCAATTCTCCTGCCTCAGCCTCCCGAGTAGCTGGGACTACAGGTGCACGCCACCATGCCCAGCTAATTTTTGTATTTTTAGTAGAGACGGGGTTTCACCACGTTGGCCAAGATGGTCTCGATCTCTTGACCTTGTGATCCGCCCACCTTGGCCTCCCAAAGTGCTAGGATTACAGGCATGAGCCACCGCACCTGGCAGCCTCAATAATTCTTAAGGCTAACCTGATGACATCACCATCACACATTTTGATGAGGAATTGAATTTTGTAAGAGTCTACACCTGGATTTCAGGTGGAAAATCGTTCCTTATAATTTGCATTAACCAGGTCGTTAAACTACCCTTACTCTGTAGAAATCTGAATCAGAATGATGGTTAAGGCAGGCTTTTGCGCCTCTTTTTTTCTCTATTTTCGTACAGTTCAGAGTGCCTAGAGCTGGATATGGAGAGTTTAGGTAAAAGTCTGTTTGTCAAAGAAGTATTTCTATGGTCCTGTTTCCTGGGTTAAGTAAACCAAAAGCTACTAATAAATATTTATTAGATATTTGAAGTAATGCTCTGCTAATTTTAAATATTGAAAAGGAAACTTTCAAAGTAGGAGGCCTCCTTGCTGCCTCATCTTCATTTAAACCCTTAATAAATATTCCTTAAATAATAAAGAATTTTTGTTGTTTCAATTGTATGGGTTTAACAAAAACATTCCTGAGTCTGTGTCTTCTATAAGTTTGTCTTTTTTGATATGCATTCACATTACTGTTTCCTCTCGCTGTCTTTTTTTTTTTTTTGAGGTGGAGTCTTGCTCCATCTCCCAGGCTGGGATGCAGTGATGCAGTCTCGGCTCACTGCAGCCTCTGCCTCCTGGGTTCAAATGATTCTCATGCCTCAGCTTCCTGAGTAGCTGGGATAATCCCTGCCACCACACCCAGCTAATTTTTGTATTTTTAGTAGAGACGGGGTTTCATCATGTTGTCTAGGCTGCTCTCAAACTCCTGACCTCAGGTAATCCGCCCACCTCTGCCTTCCAAATTGCTGGGAGAGCCACTGTGCCCAGCCTACTATTTCCTCTTATATGAAAAGTTTCTTGGCAATTTTTGTTTACCTTAGGCTGTTTCTTCCCAGACGCCCGCTGCAGACAGCAATGATTCAAGATGGCCTTATCTTCTGGCTGGTTGATGTTCTGAAGGACCCAGACTGCCTGTCTGACTACATGCTGGAGTACTCGGTGGCTTTGCTCATGAACCTCTGTCTCCGCAGCGCAGGTCTCACAGCCTCCCAACCCTCATTGTGGTGCAGAAAGGGGAAGAGATCTTAACCCTCCACGCTAGGTTTCCAGTGAGCCTGATACGGTTTGCTTTTAGTCTCATAGAAAACTGAAAGAAGAGTGGAAAGCATTTCCAACCAGGTATCAAGGTGTTGAATCCCTGAGGCCAAAATCCCTTCTCACTCTGGAAAAAATGTTTTGTATATACATAGTGCCCGCATTAAGAGGAGACTAAGTTCATTTACATTTTTCTTTATTGTATCATTTAAAGGTAGAAAGTTAAGAATGTGACACCTGGCTGGGTGCAGTGGCTCACATCTATAATCTCAGCACTTTGGGAGGCCGAGGCAGGCAAATCATGAGGTCAGGAGTTTGAGGCCAGCCTGGGCAACACAGTGAAACCCCATCTCTACTAAAATACAAAAAATTAGCTGAGCATGGTGGCAGGCGCCTGTAATCCCAGCTACCCAGTAGGCTGAAGCAGGAGAAGTGCTGGAACCCGGGAGGTAGAGGTTGCAGTGAGCCAAGAGCATGCCACTACACTCAAGCCTGAGCAACAGAGTGAGACTCCATCTCCAAAAAAAAAAAAAAAAAAAAAAAAAGAATATGATCCCCTTTTCTGAAGACAAAGAAGCATGTTCCCAGGATCCTGTAGGATTAAGTTGGCTGTAATAGCAGTGACACTAAACCCTGCTTCCTGCCGTGAATCACATGCTTTTCCCTGCCCCAGCCCTGGAGGTGGAGATTTTTCTGTGGGCACAAGTCATTTATATGCTTGATCACTAAAGGTAGTGATTTTAGCTTTTCCGCAGGTACTATCTCATTTAAATTGTTACCTGGGATGAAAGAAGCTTCTTTAGAAGAAGTACCAAGTCCAGGCTGTGGCTTTCCCCTGCCCGCCTGGGCAGCCAGTGTTTGGAGAAAAAGGCTCCCTGGATAAATAGCTGGCTCAGGAGTACTTGTTGGAAGCATCTTCACCTCCATCTTGTGGACTGAACCATGTAGCTGTGTGTTGTTGACTGAGTAAATGACTATTATTTCAGTCATTTTAAAAAACAGCATGTGTAAAAAGTTCTAGCTTTTTTTTTTTTTTTTTTTTTTTTTTGAGATGAAATCACTTTCTTTCACATAGGCTGGAGTGCAGTGGCGTGATTTTGGCTCACTGCATCCTCTGCCTCCCAGGTTCAAGCAGTACTCCTGCCTCAGTCTCATGAGCAACTGCAACTACAGGTGCCCACCACCACACCTGGCTAATTTTTGTATTTTTAGTAGAGAGGGGTTTTCACCATGTTGGCCAGGCTGGTCTTGAACTCCTGACTTCAAGTGATCTGCCCACCTCGCCCTCCCAAAGTGCTGGGATTGCAGGTGTGAAACACTGCACCCAGCCAGAAGTCCTAACTTCTAATACATGCATCAGATTAGAATTAGCTTTACTTCATCATCATCACCGTATTTGCAGCGATTTTTATGATGATGTTTAGAACTACTAAAATGCCCATATGGCCTTTGTGATGGCCGTATAGTATGTGGGAGGGAGAACACTGCTCTATAATGTATTATGCTTTCACTGTAATGAATCGCGCTGTGCTCTGACTGGGGTAATAGCCACTACTTGGGGTGGTTTCTGAGCACCGAAGTTCTGTGCTACACTGAGTCCTTTACATACATTAGTTTACTTAATTTTGCATCATCCTTTGAAGTAGGTATGAATAATAATCCCTGTGGTAAACAGGAGGAAATTGAGGCCCAGATTGGTTTTGTGACTCACCCACTTGGCTTATGGGCAGAGGAGCCAAGATTTGTCCCCAAGTCTACCTGACCTAAAATTGTGCTTCTGGGTTTAGACATGTTATGTTCAGCTTTGGTTTGTTTCCCATAGGGAAGAACATGTGTGCCAAGGTGGCAGGCCTCGTGCTCAAAGTCCTTTCGGATCTTCTTGGCCATGAAAACCACGAGGTACTCATTCAGCGTTGCTGGCCCTGGGCTTAGAGGAGGCTGCACTGGGGACCCAATGCCTGTGACCCCACAGGCACACAGCTGGCCCAGGACAATTGCTGTATTTGAAAAATGTCCATGTTCTCCCTCCTCCAGGGACTTTCAGAAGCAACTGGAAATCTTTTATAATTTTTAGAATTTTAGGAGTCAGAAGCAGGATGTTGTTCTTTCTGTCCCCATCTGTGTGGCCCGCTGACCACTGGCCTGTGCTGGGCCCCTCCGGCATTGCTCCCCTACAGTCCACCCTCTTGGGGTGTTTAATGTATCTCCATGGTTGTGGATGGAGCCTCTGTACATGTGTGTTGAATTTGCAGAAATTGATTGTCCTGTAGGTTTCATTCTGTTTATGGCTTTCACCTTGGCTTGTTAGGTCCTTTCTATGTTGCTTTACATACATCTGGTTCATTAAGTGTCACTATTGCAAACTAGCTCCTTGTTTGTGTCCCTGCCATTTTACTTACCCGCCTGTACACTCTGGGTGCCTTCCAGTCTGTTGCCACAGCAATCCTCAATGGACTTGGCCGCACCTGCCTCATGGGAGCCTGTGCCAGAGCTTCCATGGATGCTAGACACTCATCACTGCTGGCTGCCAGCATACGTCAGTGTCAGGTCACTGAGTGCGGCCAAGTTGTCCTCCAGAATGGGCTGTACTAGCGTTTACTCTCACCAGTGTCTCTGTAATACCTGGTGTGATTTTCTACGTTTTTAATTTATGGGCTTCAGGCTCTTTTTAAATAAAGTAGAGGTATGGGTAAACAATTTAACAGAAACAAATAAATATGATTATTCTCTCACTTGCCTTCTACAAATGCCATTACAGAAACCATGACAAGGCTTCAACAAAAATCTGACCACTTTAGACAGATGAGACCCAGAGGTATATCTGAGCAGGACACGATTGAGTACCACTTGGTTTCCACGTGTCTGTGTTCCCGTTTCTTTTTTTTTCGAGACAGAGTCTCACTCTGTCGCCTGGCTGGAGTGCAATGGCGCAATCTCAGTTCAGTGTAACCTCTGCCGCCTCCCAAGTTCAAGCAATTCTCCTGCCTCAGCCTGCCGAGTAGCTGCAATTATAGGCACACACCACCATACCCAGCTAATTTTTTGTATTTTTAGTAGAGACAGGGTTTCATCATTTTGCCCAGGCTGGTCTCAGACCCCTAACCTTATGATTCACCCTCCTTGGCCTCTCAAAGTGCTGGGATTACAGGTGTGAGCCACCACACTCAGCCCGTTCATTCCCATTTCAAGCAGACAGCTCCCATTCTGGTCATTCCATTCACATTTTATACTAGTTCTATCTACTGATTGGGGTGACTTCTTTAGCAAGTGGATGTTTGGTGGCTTTTGCAGTTTGTGACATTCATATTGTATTTTAAAACTAGTAAGCTCTTAACTACTTCTAGGCCCGAGTGAACTCTATTCCTCTCTTTATTCAGCTCAGGCAGGTGAAACCAGTGGGAAACATATTCTTCCATCTCAAAATAAAGGTTGGTTTCAAGTACTGGAACCAATATATCTGCTCTGAAAACTGAATAGACGAAAGGATTCGAATCATGTCGTTAACTGTTACCAATGCATTGGCTTTGAAAATAAGCTGGACAAGCCAGGTGCGGTGGCTTATGCCTATAATCCCAGCAATTTTGGGAGGCCGAGGTGGGAGGATCACTTAAGGTTAGAGGTTCGAGACCAGCCTGGCCAACGTGTGGAAACTCCATCTCTACTGAAAAAAACAAAAATTCGCCAGGCATGGTGGCATGTCCCTGTAATCCCAGCTACTAGGAGGCTGAGGCATGAGAACCACTTAAACCCGGGAGACAAAGGTTGTAGTGAGCTGAGATCGTGCCATTGCACTCCAGCATGGGTGACAGAGCAAGACTCTGTTTCAAAAAAAAGAAAAGAAAAATATAAAAAGAAAATGAGCTAGAAAAACTATATATATATCTCTATCTAAAATATATTTATTTTAGATAGATATATGTACATATGTATTTTTAGATATATGTACATATATACGTAGTTTTAAAATACAAATATAAAATATATTTATATAAATATAAAATATATATATATATATTTTAGATCCAAGAAATGTGTTTGCTACACAAGTAAATGAAATATTCATATATCCTGTAGTAGTCATGATCTTGAAAGACAAAATGAAAATTAAAAAATGATGCACATAATTGACTATATGAATATTACATTTCTTGTTTGGAAAAGATGCTATAATCAAAGTCAAAAAATGAATGAAGCCCCGAGGAAAAGTTGCATCACATGTGACCAAAATTTAATATTTCTAATAGTTGAAGAACTAGTATAAACTGATAAGTAAAAGTCAAGCAATCCAATAGAAAAAAGGGTAAAGGGCATGACTGGACAGTTCACAAAATGGTGCTGGCCCAGAAGCATGAAAAGATGTTCAGTCGTGCTGGTATCAGGGAACTGAAAAGGAAAACAACTGTAGGATGCCTTTTACCCATCAGCTTGGCAAGCATTGAAAGTGCTAATGAAGTCCAGTGCTGAGGGAGGGCGATGGGAAAGGAGCCCTCCTCCATTGCCATGGTGGGCATAGCGTACAGCCCGCTGAAAAGGGATTTTGCTTCTCAGCACCTGCCATGCTTCATGTCCTGTGCATGCAAGTAAAACGTGGGTCCTGTCCTCAAAAAGCTCAGAATAGAGGGGACATAGTGTGAATTTAAAAGGATACTGCCTCCAGTGCTGTAGTGGAGGGATGAACAAGATGTACAAGAAGCGGAAGTGAGCGCCATGTCTGGGCTGAGTTTTTAAGGTTCATTATATGTGTGAAGACCATTCCTGGCAAGGTGAACTGCAAGAACCTGGCTGAAATGTGGAACAACCTGGTGGGGGCATCCCTTAGATATTGTGGACAGATCGTGGTGGCAGGGAGGGAGAAGCAGAGGGCTTGAGATAGAGGCCACCCCTTAAAAGATCCTGTGTGCCACACTAAGGAGTCCGCCTTTCCAACTGGGCTCTGTGGAAGGTTTCTGAGATGGAGAGAGGGATGATTTGGTCCACGCTGTAGAATGTTCGTAGTGATCTGATGGTTAAATTAAAGGATAAATATTGAGGGTAGAAAGACTGTTTTGGAGATTTGATATAACCTAGGTCATGGACAATGATGTCTAAACAAAGACAGCAGCAGTGGATATTAAAAAGAAGGGTTCCTATCAAAGAGCCTTGAAGACTGAGCATTGGAGACTGAACAAGAAAAAATCAAACGTAACTCCAAAGTTTCTAGCCTGAGTGATCAGGAGGTTCAAAGTAACTTTAATTAAGCAATGAAATGCAGCAGGAGTGAGCTTTGGGAGGAGTGATGAATCTGGTTTTAGACTCAGTGGTAGCGGTCACTCAGACATGCAGATGGAGATGTCTGTCACTTGGAAATGTGCATCCTGGAGTGCCAGAGAGCTGCAGGGATAGGAACACCCACTCTCCCCATTTGCCAGATTGTTCTGCAGTGTGGTGTTTGATAGAGAGTTGTGCAATATTTGAAAACTTGCAAATAACTGTTTGTTTTCCTCCACTTAAAGATCCAGCCGTATGTGAATGGAGCTCTGTACAGCATCCTTTCTGTTCCAGACATTCGTGAGGAAGCAAGAGCAATGGTAAGAAAGCGTGCCTGAGAAACATGTGAGCTTCCTTCAGTGCCGGAGTTCAGAGCTCTTAGAGCAAGACGTCCTCGATTGGGCTCCATGGATGGACTCGGATCCTTTACAAACGCGCTGAAATTGTATGCAAAATGTTTATTTGCCATTTCCTAGGGACAGAATCTGTAGCTTTTCTCAGATTCTCAAGAGGATTCCTAACTCCTAAGAGGTTAAAAATTCAAGTGTTAGTTCCTATAACTGTTGCAAAGTTATAGACATTCTGACGGCAACCAAATAGAAAAGATTATCCAACTCTCTAGGACTTGGTTTGTTTGGAAAGTAGTAAACTCAGTATTTAGTATGTTTACGTTAATACTTGTATGTGCAGTAAAAAAAAAACCTCAGGTGATTAGTGTCTTATTTTCAAAGGACAGATGTTTCTAGATCTAATCTGCAAAACAGCTAGAGTTTTATCCTTTTTCCTTATACCATGTGAAACCAGGTTAACAGTGTATTAAACGCTGTGGTGAAAAAGTTAAATATATTTCCATCCTCAAAACACAGGCAAAATTCTCATTGACACCAACAAAACATTCCTGTAATTGGTTTTGCTTACTTAGAAGAATTGCTAAGTCTTCTCATTGATCATTTAAAATTACACCAACAGTTACACCAGAGGCGAAACTTATTTAAGAACCATTCTATGTGATCACACTGAACAATGGACCTTAATTACCTGCTGCTTTTAAATTTCACCACAGAACAGGGGAAAATAAATTTGCTTATATTCTGCATTATGGTCATTTAGGTGAAAGAAAGGGATTGTCAGCCAAGGCAAAGAAGAGAAGAAAACGTGTAGGCTTAAAAGAATGGAGGTAACATCGAATCTGAGTGAAATGCAGCATGGAGGAAAGACACCAGGGCAAAGGGATGGAGAGGGCAGGGGAGTGGCAGCCAAGGGCAGGGACCCCTTGAGGAAGAGTCACAGTTGTAGGTTATGACAGCAGGACTGCCCTTAGAGATCCCAGAGCAGGGAGAAAAAAGACAGAAGATAGGGACAGAGCTTCTGAGACCTATGTGACAGCGTCAGGAGGTCTGACAGTTACCCAATAGGAGTTCCAGAAGGAGAGGAATGTGAGCAAATGGGGCGGAAAAATATTGGATAAATAATGAAGAAATTTGGTGAGAAATACAAACGTAACAGTAAGGTATCTAGGAAACCCCTAAATGTTTGGAAAATAAACAGGATACGAGTATCAGTTATCTATTACCGCATAACAATTTACCCCAAAGCTTAGTGGTTTTCTGGTTTTGTTTTTGAGACAGAGTCTCGATCTGTTGCCCAGGATGGAGTACAGTGGCACAGTCTAAACTCATTGCAGCCTCTGCCTCCTGGGTTCAAGCAATTCTGCCTCAGCCTTCTGAGTAGCTGGGACTACAGGTGCACACCACCAAACCTAGCTGATTTTTGTATTTTTAGTAGAGATGAGTTTTCACCATGTTGGCCAGGCTAGTCTCGAGCTCCTGAACTCAAGTGATCTGTCTGCTTCAGCCTCCCAAAGTGCTGGGATTACAGGTGTGTGCCACCGTGCCCAGCTGATTTTTGTTTTTGTTTTTGAGACAGGTCTTGCTCTTTTACCAGGCTAGAGTGCAGTGGCCTGATCATAGCTCAACTGCAGCCTCCATCTCCCAGGCTCAAGCCATCCTCCTCTCTCATCTAGTAGCTGGGACTGTAGGTGTGCGCCACACCTAGCTAATTTTTTTTTAAGAGACAGGGTCTTGCTATGTTGGCCCAGGCTGGTCTCAACTAGGCTCAATTGATCCTCCCACCTTGGCCTCCTAAAAGTGCGGGGGTTACATGCATGACCTGCTGAGCCTGGCCCTTGAATTTTTAAATTACAGTCATGCACCACGTGACAACATTTTGATCAACAAGACTGCATATATGATAGTGGTCCAATAAGATTATAATTCCCTATTTTAACTGTACCTTACCTATGTTTAGATATGCTTAGATACACAAATACTTAACATTGTGTTATAGTTGCCCACAGTATTCAACACAATCACATGCTGAACAGGCTTGTACCCTAGGATCTTACTTGGCTATGCCATATAGCCTAGGTGTTGTAGTAGGCTACACCATCTAGGTTTGTCGCTTATCTATGATATTTAGACAATAATGACATTGCCTTATGACACATTTCGCAGAACATATCCCAATCACCAAGCTACCAATGACTGTTTCTTTGGGACAAACATTCAAGAGTGGAAAGCAGAGTAGTCCTAACTAACAGTTGCTCAGTTATAATTAAGACTTTAGCCTCTGCTACCAAGCTCACTCACATGGCTGTCAGCAGGAGGCCTCCGTTTCTTTCTGGCTATTGGCTGGGACCTCATTTTCTTCCCAAATGGGCCTCTCCGTAAAGCTTCTCTTGACGTGGCAGTTGGCTTCGCCTAGAGTGAATGATTTGAGAGAGAGTAAGCAAGACAGAAGCCCCAGTGTCCTTTAGAAAACCTACTCTCAGAAGTGAGATACCATTGCATTTATTCCCTTGGTTACTCAGACCCACCCTGGTACAATGTGGAGAAGATTGCACAAGGGTGTGACTAGCAGGAGGTAAAATCACTGGGGCCACCTTGGGCTGGCCACCACACACTCCTAGCTAACTGTGGGTCAAAGAAGAAAGCTCAAGGGAGATGAGGGGCTATCATTCTGTTGAAAAACATTACAAATATTTTCTCAGTTTTGGTTAGTCTTTTTAAATTCTGGTGGTTGGCCAGGCATGTTGGCTCACACCTATAATCCCAGCACTTTGGGAAGCTGAGGTGGGCAGATCACGAGGTCAGGAGTTTGAGACCAGCCTGGCCAACATGATGAAACTCTGTCTGTACTAAAAATACAAAAAATAGCCAGGTGTGGTGGCACGTGCCTGCAGTTACAGCTTCTCAGGAGGCTGAGGCAGGAGAATCACTTGAACCTGAGAGGCGGAGGTTGCAGTGAGCTGAGATTACGCCATTGCACTCCAGCCTGGGCAACAAGAGCAAGTCTCCATCTCAAAAAACAAAAAACAAAAAATGTTATGGTGGTTTTGGTCAAATATCTGCTTTATGGCTTCTGACATGGGTTTCTAGATAAGCTGTGAGATTTTGACTTTGAAAAGGAAATGTGGATCACTTACCTAAAGATATAAGTAGATGATGGGGCACGGTGGCTCATGCCTGTAATCCCAGTACTTTGAGAGGCTGAGGTGAGTAGATCACCTGAGGTCAGGAGTTTGAGACCAGCCTGGCCAACATGGCGAAACCCTGTCTCTACTAAAAATACAAAAATTAGTCAGGCCTGGTGGTGGGCACCTGTAATCCCAGCTACTCAGGAGGCTGAGGCAGGAGAATCGCTTGAACCTGAGAGGCAGAGGTTGCAGTGAGCGGAGATCACGCCACTGCACTCCAACCTGAGCAACAGAGTGAGACTCAGTCTCAAAAAAAAAAAAAAGAATAAGTTTCCCTCTGGCATTTAACAGAGATTAAAGAGATACAAGCCAGGGAGGAATCCCTTTTAGCCTAAGAGGAAGCTTTTAAACACATCACCAAGGTGGTTGCCAACTTAACTATTTGTAAGAGTTACCTCTAAGGGATGATCATGGCCATAGTAAGATTTTTCTAAAACCCTGAAATTTCCCTCCTTTCACGTTTATCTTTGAGGAAGTTTTTAGATTGATAAAGCCATTATATTCTCTTTGCACATAGATCTTACATGGATGTATTTGCTTGGCAGAGTCTAGGTTGTGTACCTGCACCCTAGCTACAGGGGAGGCTAGAAATACTGAATAATGAAGGAAATAAGACAAGGAAAATGTTTCCCACAATCTCTCCACCTTGACATCTGCTCATGCTCGATGCTAGGGAAGTGGAGGCAGAGCTGATGTCCTCAGCCCTGCTGGTATTTGGATGTGTGTCAGCACAGTCCTTCTGGAAGGCAGCTTGGCGATTACATGAAAAGCCACAATCCATCTTTTGGACTCATTCATTTTCTACTGGTTGTTGATGCACAGAAAAAGAGTTCTATGCATGACAATGTTCATTGCAACATCTTTGAAAGAGTGAAAAGCTGGAAGCAACATAAATATCTAGTAATACAGGAATTGCTAAAGAAATTATGATTCTTTTGCTCAAATGTTTGTAGTTATTGAAGATGATAATTAGGAAAAGCAGTATGAAACAGTCTGGAAATTTTTATTTTACTTTATAATGAGGGATAAAAGCAGAATATCTCTATAAGAATGTATGTACTTATGGAAAATGACACAATTTACATAAAAATTACATTATTACCAAATGCTATTATAGTAGTATTTCAAGAATACCCTAAAGGGAAAAAAGAGAACAAAATAAATGAGTGTCCTGGGGCCCATTTGAACTTTAAGAGCCTGCCAAGGCCTGGAGCTTGGATCAGATAAGTGGAGCTGCCCTAATACCCACCCAACAGGCCTCCTGCAACTAGGGCTGGAGTCATAGTCAGCCTTGGCGCTCTCTGCCCTGGGCACCCCAACAAACATCCTGTCCAGGGCTGGAGCAGACCAGAGGCTTTGTGCGTTATAAAGTCTCCCAGAATCTGGGAGAGCCAGGGATCTGGGCTTAGAAGCCACTCAGCCCAGAGGAATGTCCAAGCACTCCATGGGGCTGCTCTACTCCAGTGACCCTGGGGCTCACAGCACAGACCGTGATGCCAGAAACTGCCTCTACTCTCCCCAGAGGGCTGGGCACTGCTGCTCCCCCCTGCAGCAGAATCACGTGTGTTCTCCATGTGCCTGATCCTCCACGTTGCCCACTTCTGAGTCAAAGTTTCATGTGCGTGCATTTGCTTGGCAGAATCTAGATGGTGTGCTTGCATCCTAGCTGCAAGGGAGGCTTGCAATTTGAGTATTCTGTTGCACTGGGAAATTAACAGTGTAGAAAACCTGTTTAAAAGGCATTCAGCCACAGTTGTTCATTACAAGTGGTCAGCCTAGTTGCAT